TTTAAGCGTTAGAAAAATATGCCCGGAATCAGCGTTTACGGGTAAAGCGCATCGATTCAGTAGGAGCAGAGAGGGCTCTTGAGTACCTGCACCACTTCTTTCGAGTAAATAATGATATTTTTGAAGGCCAATGTGCTCATAATCTATGCGCCATTGAATACACAAATGCTCATAAGACTGCGTCTTGTCTTCTTGTCGCAAATTCCTTGGGCCTTTCTTATTTGGCTTTTTCTGGTCATCAAAGCTCTTTCTGTCTGAATTTACGCCTTTATGATTTTTCTCCAGGAGAATAAACTCGGACAAGTTACTGGTCGAGGCCAACAACAGCAACAACCGTCCGAGCCACAGTACAATTCCCAAAACGACCAAGGACACAGCATGAATCAGGGCTATTACAATAACAGCCAAGGCGGATATCAACCGCAACAGTCCGGGCCAGGCTACAACTCCTATGGCCCTCAGGGAGGCTACTCTCCAGCCCCAGGAGGCTATCCGCCCGCTCCAGGAGGTTATCCACCCCAGCAAGGAGGTTACCCTCCAGCTCCAGGAGGTTACCCTCCACAACAAGGAGGATACCCACCACAGCAAGGGGGATATCCACCTTCGGGAGGCTATCCCCCACAGGGAGGACCACAACAAGGAGGATACCCCGGAATGCCGCAACCGGGTGGCTATCCGCCTCAAAATCAAGGTGCGGCACCGCCAATTGGCTTTAATCTTGGCTATCCCCCTCAGGGACCAACTAACAACTTTCAAGACGCTGGTGCTTATCCTCCACAAGGCGGTATGGGCTATCCGCCACAACCGGGATATAATCAACCACCACATGGCGGTTATCCGCCCCAAGGACAATTCGGTCAAGGAATGGGCTACCAGCAAGGCCCGCCGCAACATGGCGGTTATGGCGGATATGGACAACCAGGTTGGTTGTACTACACTTTTTGTATTGAGTTATTTACTGAATGGCCCTTTCATTGCCTTGACCCCATAGATTTGATCGATAGTGCGGTCCTTTATGCGGCTCTTGTTTGCACGCGGGGCTCATCGCGCTCTTCCACAGGCCTTCGCATCTCATTGATGGCTCGCGGACACGGCGCAATCCCTCTTTACACTCTCTTGCTCTCCTGGAGCAGTGACTGACTTCAGTTTTTGCATGCGCTGGAAGAAATTCTCCAGTCTTTGCTAGCGTCCCTCAGAATTCGTAGACATGGCTTTTAGAAGCAAAAGGCAAAATTAGACTGAACTATTTCACCTTAATTTTCTCCTTCCAGTCTATTTCTGCTACCATTTTGATCTCACATTTAATAAAAATTTTTGAACAGTTCTAAAACTTTTGATTGCA